GTTTTCTTTCAATGCCCAGACCGAAAATTTCAGTATTTGACCATCACATAACAACATGTTCATACGCTCGAGTGGATGATACATTTGATCATTCAACTATACGTACCAAATGTTGGGTATTCGTTATGACGTTGGCTAGTGAAACCCTTAGATGTAGCGTATATGTAAATGCATTCATTTACAATATTAAATTGTGTATTCAAGAACTGAAAGGAATACTTCCCGAATAGCAACGTCTTATATTTACCTGAAGGTAGCTAGCATATAATGTTATCATGTCTATGGATGGAATACGCGATAAATGCACAGTTCATTCATTTAGTATGCCGATTACTTGGGTATTGTCGAGTTGTTCTGGGTCGTTTGTCATTAGATGCGCCATATGACTATGACTTTACGCTCAATAGAACAGTGCCTACACGGCCCTTCGTACACATTATTTCAACAACACTGGACCAGACAAACAGATAGGTGTCATCAACTCAAGTTGAATTGGAGGTACTCCAAAAATGCTTCTTTAGCGAGAAGAGAAGTCTTTCATCCGCATTTCGAATCTGAATCAAAGATACGAATACGTCTTCTCATTGCTCCTTTTTATTCTCTAGTCGTCAATCTACCCTTGGCTAAACTGGCTTAATTGGAGTATCAATTATTCGTCAAATAGAATCATCAGAAAATGACGAGAATAAAACGAAACCAATAAAAAGAAAAAATGACTAACAGATTCTAGTTACAATTGGAGGAGAATGCTTCAAATCTAAGTGTCACAGCAAACGAAACAATATTTAATGGAAAAAAAATGAATATAACGATGAATATCTAGTCAAACAAGAGTCTTGAAAAAGTACGAGCTTTAAGTACAATTTTACAAACTACTCAAATTTTTGATCCATATCAATTTTAGGCTATAATTTGTGACAAAAAAGAAACTTTTACACTAGTATTTATGCATTGTTTCGAACGTATTATGAGAAAATTTTCTGAGAAAAATATAAAATATTTCCACAATCAAAATTATATTTCATTCCGTGATAGCTTTTTTGTAGTTATGTAGACAAAAACTATCTTCCAGGAGTCATGCATTTTCAAAAAGAAAACATATTCTCCTTGTATTTAGAATGTAATAACAACAGTAAGAAAAAAAAATCATAGATAGAATATATACAATCATGAACAGATTGGATTTTGTTTTCAGAAAAATACATTGATGAAAACGTTGTATTCACTTATATTTTAATGTATTGATTGGTCTATGATTATATTGTCCATGGATATCGTTTTCATTTATAGAGAAGTGAACAAGTTAAAAAGAGACGCAAGTGTAGTAAGAAGGAAAGAAAGAGCACAGTAGAAAAAAGCAGATCGAGTCTAATGTATATGTGTTCTTTCTTTTGCTTGCGCATTCACTCATGAGACATACTGCATGTACGAATCTACACAAATAAGAATAATTTAGCAAATATCATAACAAAATTCTCAATGTTTACTCTTGTTTATTTTTCTAAGGAGAGAGCGTTAAATAGAATTAAAGCAAAAATTAGCATTAAATGCCAAACTTTCTGTAAACGACTGACAACATTTTTCTTCAGTTGAAATGAAGATAATGTTGATTGATATGCAATTAATTTCTCAAATATTTAGGGTGAGAGTTTAGAGTGTGAGTTCCGTTTTCACTTCGATCACATCCATTTACCCACATTCACTCTACTGCAAAATAGATCGTGTCAAAGATTAAGGAAATGTGTTGACATATGGAAAATCTCTATAGTGGTAGAATTTGCTCAAAGGATGTTCGAAACTGTTAGTCACTTAATTCTCTCGTTATTGTTTAGTTGCAAAATGAACGAACACAATTGTGCAACATTCTTACCTAACACAACAAGCAAGTTACTCACAAATAAAGAAAACACGGTAAATTTTCGATAATGGTCTCATAGAATACCATTTTATGGAGAAATGGTTGATCTTTAATTCGCTGTATTTCACATAATTTTCGTTTCTACTTGAGGTAAGTTTTGGCATGCCTAAACTCGTCCAAGCTCAATTTCTGGGCGCCTTGAAAATATCGGCTCATAACTGGTTAATCAAAAGTTCTATGAAGATTTTGAAGTCATCCTCGGAAAGAACATAAATACTAACCTGGTACTTTCATATTTCTGTAAGCTCCTTTAAGAAGAACGAACATTTTGTCATGTTAACTTTGCGATAATCCATTAGAAGAAATCAAATCTTGAATATTTTAATAGTAATAATCAAGGAATCTTATTATTTCTTATTCGTTTATAGGTAGTATAGTAGAAAAGATTGCACACTTAGTCGAACTTCAATATTTTCTTTTGTTCCCGAACAGCACGATAACCTTGTAGTTGACCTATATATATATGAATCTATTCGAGATTTATTTATTTAATGTAGTTGACACCAACACTGACTAACATCCATACAATTGATGTAGTCCTTTCAGGCAAATATTAAATGTTTTCAGTGAATCAAAAATATATTTGAGAGTAAGAGTCTAAATGGATTTTGGAAATATCTTATATCATACTCGATTTACTATCTCTTGTGCTTACATATCTACTAACAATAATCAGAGTAGAAAAACGTGTGAATTTATGTCATATGATGAAAAGTTGCTGCATTTTAAAAAATTTTCATTTTAAGATTTTTCAAGGTAAACATATCATATAATGTTGAATCATGTTATTTTGCAAAGAAAAAACAACTAATCTAGATATTTTATTTGAAAGTTTCACCTAGTTTTACTTTTTTTTAAAAAGATGCATAAATTTCTTATCTATCTACGATAAAATATCTTAGTCAATAATGGGAAAATGTTTTATGATATGAATGAGTAATCAACATAACTGTGTTAAATTATTGTCATGTATTAGGTAGTTTTTGTCTGGTTTCTTAATCAGAATGCGTAACAAGACAAGTTTTAATGTGAAAAACATAATATATAATTTTTGTTTTTATTTGATGTTTTAGATTTGAATTAAAATATAGTTGCGATATTTATTTAAATTAATATCATTAGGAAGAATGAATAAATATGTAAATGAAACAACAAATAAATCTATGAAATCTTTTCTTTCTCCTCCAATGACAGTATCATATAAGACTTTTTCGTGCTTATGTCGTTTTTCGTTTATGCACATTGACAAAGATGATAAAAAAAGAAAAACTACTGAGAATTTTATGTTTTGCCATGCATAAAGGAGAGACAATATCTGATGTCATCACTGTTTATCGTAGAGATAAAACTTTCTTATCTTTTTTGACTAAGATCGTTTTTGAGAAGGCATCTACAGCGCATATATTTAGAGTGATAATTTCCGTAGCAACTCATTTTAAGACATTTTCTCAGTAAGATATCGTTGTTTCAAACAAAATAAAATTCTATTTGTTTCAACCGAGTAAAGAATGCTTAAATTTGGTATGATATAATTTTTTTTTATTGCTTGTTATTAAACTTTTTATTTTATATTAATAGTTATATTTGCTTTTGGACTACTCATTACTCTTGTGCGTATCCTTTAATATAGTTAAATTAATAAACGATGTTTCTTTTTCTCAAATAAAGAATGTAGTTTCATCAAAAGAACTATTAATCACACAAGATGCAGCATCACAAAAAGAGTCAGGGTAAATTATTGATTAAATTGTCATTAGAAAATTTGCGTAAATACATAAAATGATTTCATAAAAAGCAAAATTCAACTATTTTTATTTCGACTGTGTATAACAGAAAAACAATATGCATAGTATACTAAATAAAGGACAAGTGGCGTTAAGGCCGTTTTTCCGCCCGAAAAATATTTCGGTTTTTTCTATTAAAAACAAGTCAATGGAGGCTCCTGATGATATTTCAAAGATTTATTTTGGAACATCTTTCAATCGATTTTTCAACCCACATTCGTACTCCCCTATGGGAGTGTCAAAAATAGATTTTGGCCATCCCTGTGGGGGAGTACGGGTGTGAGTCGAAAAATCAATTGAAAGATATTCCAAAATAAATCTTTGAAATATCATCAGGAGCCTCCATTGACTAGTTTTTAATACAAAAAATCGAAATATTTTGGGAGCGGAAAAACGGCCTTAACGCCACTTGTCCTTTAGATTAATTTTATTATTTGAACAAATTTTTACTAAAGAAAAGAAAAAAGTACTTCGTTATTGCAACAAACAAAAAAACTTTTATATTTTGTAAAATAGATGTTTATCTGTAGAAATATTGTTCGGCTTCCTTTTTCTTCCCCATCATCCTTATATTTCTTACATGATCAGTTATCAACAAAGATTAGCTTATGCATGAATGAAGAGTGACCTCTATCTAACTATATCTATATGAGCTTTGAGTGCTCAAGACGATGTTTTCAATGGCATATTATATGATGAGATTATTTCTTTGAATAATAATCTTAGTTGAAATTTTGAAATCGGTCAACACTTTTAGTATTTCTCATACATTTTCAATAGGCCACACATTACCGAATTTTACATCTTCATGTTCAGGTGAAACTCTTGCAGTAAATAGTTTATCAATGGTCCGCAAAGCAATTGTTGTTCCATATGTTGAGTCTTGACTGTCTTGAAATAGAATATTTTTCTCACATACCTTTCTAATTTCTTTTTCACCTACTTCTTTCATAAATTTGACATAGAAGTTAAATAATGACGTGAATACTTACTCATATATCTGTCGGAAAAACGATCGAGATAATACATATCAATTTGTATAGTTGTGTTATGTTACATACGATGAATTCATAGTTCATTAAAACTTCTTTAAAAAAAATAGTGGCCGATTTCGAGATTTTAATTATCACGTTCCTTCTGCTTATATCACTATTATTAATAAAGATAATATCATCGGATAATATGCCATTTAAAACATCGTCTAAAGTACTTGAAGTTCATATGCATATACTTGGATAAGGATCACTCTTTATTGACGTATTAACTAATTTTTCGTTCAGGCCCAGAACTTATGGGACATGCTTTATTCGGCAGATATTCAACAATTCTTTACTTTTAGCGGTACAACTACCCAAGCTTCTCCAACGTCAATGTTCGATTTATTCACAACTGAAAAAGAAGCAGAGGTATAGTTGATTCAATATTGAGAATAGTTAGTTGATATATTCCGTATATTTTCTTAATATGAATATGATTCATATTATTTCAATTGTAATTGATAGAATTCTAAATTTGTCTCGAATCTTATGATTCATTACAAAGTAAATAATGTGGGCACGATGTTTATCTGTTATTCAAAATAAAAGTTAAATATTTATTCTAGCTAAAATATAGAATGATGAAAGAAAAAACATTCTTACGAAAGATTCAGAAAAGANAATGAAGTTATCGGAAAAACGACTTTCTTAGGGTAAATCAAGGTGCCGAGTTCAAACTTGAGCTGTATTCGGTCCCATGTTCTATTGGTTTGGCAACGCGCAATATAAATCAACATTTTAAATGGTAGATTTCACAGTATAATTTTGATATTCAGACAGTCTAGGATGATTGATTTTTATGATTCACTTTTTGAAGTACACATAACTCTCGGATTTAAATCTGAAGTTTCCGCATTTATTTCGTTAGTAATACAGTTGAGATAACTGTTCTGAGAAATATTTTACATTGATCTTTAAGTAAAATTTAACAATTAGATTCGTAATGTTCGACTATCGAAAATAAATCAATTATGATTGAAAATAGTGGACTACAAGTTAGAAGTCTCTACTGTTTTATCCTCGATATTATGTCTTCAAATTGATTATCATACAAACGATAAAAACCAAAATTTGTTATTTTATTTTTCTAGACTTCAATTGCACAATCATCATCTCAACAAGTAAATAATCAAGATGATGATAGTCAAATAATTGTTGATAGTGATGATGAAATAATCGCTTTAAGTGATGATGAAATTCCCAAAAAATCAAATATTTCATCAAGAAAATCGCTTTGGACTTCATCTGAAATTCAAATAACAAGTGGAAGTTCTCAATCACAATCATTACATAATCCATATCGTGTTGGTATTGCTGATCCAAGTTTACGATCAATATTTTTACCACCACCAAGTTCTCAAACAACGTCAACATCAAATAGTGGAAATAAACGAACTCAAGGTAGTAATCGAAAAACATCGCCAACAAAACGAACAAATAATTCCAAATAACAATAATCATAATTATAATGATTCTTTTTTCGTTCAGATATTTTAGAAATTTTCTTTCTTTTTTTATTTATAACAAAGATAATTTTCTCAGGTTAATTAAATTATGTTGTTTTTGATAAACACAATAGTTTGTGAGTTAGTTTGTAGAATAAAAATAAATAATGCTAATTTATTATGAATTATTAGTTTCTATGATTATGTCTAAATATCAATTACTTCAAGTTGAATATAATATTATATTTTTGTCATTTTTTCTTTTTAAATCTTTCTGTATGAAATAAATATCAACCTATCAGTGATATAGTTCTACACAAAAGAACAACAACAACACAGTGTTTAAATTCTTAGACGATTCGTATTTTCTATTTCATATTACAATCAATTTATTCGTTTGTTTTTGAGTTAGCTTTTGTCCGTACAATCGAACTATAATAAAATATATTGCTCAAATTATTGAAATATATCCAGAAAACTTGATGGATGAAACCCGTTGATTATATATAGAGAAAATGAATAATTTTTAAAGAATTGTTAGCGCAATCCCTATGGTATTAAAGTGTAGAACACGATGTAGATACTTATGATAATTACAGGATGATTGTTTTATTCTATTTATTTCGGGATACATTCCTTCATTCTAATTTTACTTAATCATCCAGAAATGCAATAAGGAAATAGTTCATATGGTACTGCGATCGTATATCAACAACGGCTGGTGGACGGACAGAGCGTGCAAATTTCTACTCTATAGACTTCAATATTCCTTTTGGATCGTGTTTCACAAAAATCTCTATATTTACAAATGATTAGTTTCTATGAAATAACTATGATTCATTAGTTTATTTAACCAAAAGTCAAACTCAACAAGTTCTCCTAAACAAAAAAATGCAGATGACTTGAAAGTTTTTCTTTTTTTGCTTGAACTACTATTCTGTCTTATTGATAATGTTCATCATTGAGATTATCTAAGCGTAAAATTTAACAAAATATTATCAGATATTCTTATCACTTTCAATTATCTTTTATAGAAAAAACAAAGAGAATATTTTTTTTCTTACTATAAATCATTGTGAACAATCTGACAATACATAATTCATTATTAAAATGACGCAGAATAATAAAAAGAAAAATTATGATTTGAACTATTGTCAATGTTGAGGAGGTTTTTCAGTTCATCTATTATTTTTCTTAATAGTTTGTATCGTGTACAGAATGTCTAGTAAAAATACAAGTTTCAATAACATCAGTTCACTTGACGATGGTATTAAAATACTACCTTCTACAATAAGATTTTGGATTTATCTTGTTATTTTTATTCCATCAATAATTTGTTCATTGTTTGTTCTTTATTATCTTCTTTTCACTGGAACATTACGTCGTGCTCTTAATAATCATACAATTATTGTTCTTATTTTTATTGGTCTTATTTGTCAATTAACTATTTATCCGTGGATGCTCTATTTCTATAACAATGGTAATCAATGGTATAGAACATTAACTTTTTGTAGTATCTGGGGATTTATTGATTGGGGATTATATATAACTCAAGTAATACTCTTTGCTTGGACTTCAATTGAAAGACATATTCTTATTTTTCATGATCGATGGATAGCAAGAAAAAAGAAACGTTTTTATATTCATTATCTTCCTCTAATATTACTTACGCTTTATTGTTTTATATTTTATAGTATTGTCTATTTCGTTCCATTTTGTAAAAAATTCGTTCAATATAATGTTGCACTATGTATTGACAATTGCTTATATGATAATGATATATTTTTCATATGGGAAACTATAGTTCATCAAATACTACCAAACTTAATTATAATTATAGCTAGTATTGCTTTACTTATACGTATTCTTAGACAAAAACACCGTGTAAGTCAACGAATTCAATGGGGAAAACATCGAAAAATGGCAATACAATTATTATCAATATCATTTCTTTATTTGATATTCTCATTTCCAAATACAATCTTGATTCTTATCTATCTATGCGGTTTATCATATGACATTGGCCATAATGTTAAAATATATGCAGAATTCTTTAGTTATTTAGTTATACTTTTTTTTCCCTTTGTTTGTATCTTTTCATTACCTGAACTTCGAAAAAAAATCACAAGAATTTTATTATTACGATCAACAGCAATATCTGTTTATCCTGAAACCTGTACTATGAGATATAATACAAATACGCAACATATTAGTATATTACAAAATAGAGTTCAATAAAACATTGTTTTGTTGTTGTATTCAAATAAAAATAAAACATTATTTATCATAAGAAAAAATATTTAGAACGGTTTTTAAGGGTCGCCTTTTAATTCTCTTCAAAATGCTATCTTTTCTACTAATATAAATAACATCCATTATTTTCCAAGATATACTTCAAACAAGTAGTCCAAGATAAACAACTTTGTAAAACAAATATCTTGTCGAATTCTTTTGACTGCACGTTTTTATTCTTTAATAAATGTTTTTTTTTCGATGTTAATTTTTCCCAACCAATGGACACACTAAAAAGATAGAAAGCTGTCGTAGTATCATTGTCGAGTTAACTGATGAATGTGAGATTTTGCAGTGTTCCGTTGAAACGGTCAAATTTGACCGAAGCTCATATTTCCATATTTTATTGCTACTGAAAGAACATTCTGGATACATCGAGCATGATCTATTGTTTCTTAATCGAAAATGGCCATTAGTGTCACCTGTTTGAAGTAGACACCTAACTAGATCATGATCTTTTGAGAAGACTTTCGTTTCTTTTTAAACTCATTGCTTTCATGTGTTTCAATGCGATTGATCTCCCAGACTCGTTCGTTTTGGACGTTGTATAAATTGTCGATATCAAACAAGTTTTCATCTCAAAATAAACTTCGCATCGTATCCTCTTTTCGAAAATTAAGGCCCAGTCAAGATGCAAATTTGTTTTGTTTGTATTTTTAGTTTTCAATGAGTTGTGGTTCAGTTAGGATCTTATGGACATGAAGTTTTAGATCATCTTTCGGTAATAGGTGAGTGCTGGATTTGGATATGCTGTATTCCTTAGTCAAACTTTGAACTGACTATTACTGTTTCGAGCAATACGTGACGTACCAGGGAAATTGACAGCTGGATACAACTGATTTCAAATATGATTTTCAACCATCTTTTCATACTATTATGTCCTAAAGAACTGTTTAAAACATGAAAAAATCTTCCTTAAACCATCATTATCTTCATACTTGCAAAAACCTACTTTTCGAAGATCGTTACTTTTCATTATGTAGCAAACACAAGTTACTTGTGAATAGAATACAGTATATAGATTCTTGTGAAGGATAAAAAGACAAATCTTTAAAACAGATTAGATTCGATAAAATAAAATTCGATAGAGATGTCAATAAAATATTGAGTGACCCATTATTTCTTGTGTACCCGTTATATATACTGCTGGACAAAAGTAGATGTTCATTGTGAAGTGCTACTATTCCTTATGATATTGAACTAATATTTTGGTTGCATCCGTGCGACAATAAGTCCTCATCGCAAATACTAACTCGTTCTCTATTAATTCATATGTATTAAAGTTATAATTCAAATATCATCCCTATGTTGAAGTTACTATCAGTCTGAATGTTGTTAGAAATCACTTTAAAGTAATTCAGATTTTGCTCTCTTATTTTGAACATTTGTTAACGAGCAAACGCTGGTTTTTAGTAAAATTGATCTTTTCCATTGTGGCTTTGAATAGTTTTTGCAAAGAAAATATTATATTTAAATGATAAATTCAACACATGTGAATCGATGAAGGGGAGGTTGATGCTTACGATCAGGGTTTGTTGTTACACGCAGATATCAAGAATATCTGCTAAATATTATAAAGAATGAATGCACTTCAGATTCGGCAGTTGATTTTGTCCTGGACTGTATATGCATATATATATATCTGTTTGAAATCTTTCAAATTCTGAAATTTTATGGCTTGTTTTTCCAGTACCCATATTAAACTGTAGAACGTCGTTCTTCTGGCAAAACTCGTTCAGCGTCGAGTGAATGCATATGTAGACTAGTCATTGTTGTGCAATTAAGCGTCTATGATGATGATGACAAAAAACAAAAGAAATTTCATTGGTTCTTCGAAGAGGAGAGAAAACTATGGATAAATAATTGAAGTCAATACTGTAAGCAAGTAAGCTCAAAATGACATGTCGTTTTGAATTTTATATATCTTTCGTTTGTAAAAATAAAATTGAGAATAATCATACTATGTGATCGTCCAAGCAAGAGAAAACCGAACTCTTAGAAGTGCGCCATTTCAATCTATTGTGTGCTTAAAAGCAATAGGTAAATAGCGGAACCCTGGAGAAATTTTGAAAGTTCTAGAAAATTCTAAACGTGTGGATGAGGTATGCGAAGAGAAGACCCACACTAACACTTTTTTAGACTAATATGATATTTTGGGTTATTTTGAAATAAAACAAAACCAAACAAAGAAAGAAGAATGGGTGACGATTATTGTCTTGAAAGTTTGAACATGTTCTTCAGAGAAAATATCATTTCAAAATTGACAAATGGATTTTTTGATGTGAGGTCTCCCATAGTTCAATTTGGCAAAGAATATTTATGTAAGACTACTTTTGATCATTTTTGTTATCAAATGAATTCGATACGATGGATAACTATTTGAAACACTTCTTTTCGATTTCTTATGTTAAGACAACAGACAAACTGGCTGTTAATATCGTTATAGACAAGATAACAATGAAGGCCCGCTAAAACCAATTTACTATGATCATTGTTTCGTAACATAAAGTGTCAGTGGCAATAAGAGTGAGATGTTGGTAAGAGGAGATGAGTCTGACGTGAGTTCGAATTCAAGCTTGATTATTTCATAGCAAGTTTTATAAAGCGTTCGATTTCTTTTTTCTCACAATGATTTGAAAAATTCGTTTCATTAATTCAAAGAAAAAATGCCTCGAGCATCTGTATCCAATTTATTGCAGAAACAACGCTGTATTTAATTAAAATGTTCAATTGAGATGATGACCTTTTGATCATGTCTCAAAATTAATCCTTCTTTTATTCAATTTCCATTTGTGTTCGACCATAATCGAAAGCTTCTTTAATGGAATGAAACATGTGTTCATCATCGCTCGACCAATCATAATCAATCATCTCTTCAGGATAATTTCTAAAAACAGATAAATCAGAATACAAATTTGATATTATAAGCGCTATTGACGAAACTTAATATATTCGCTTATGAAACATGAATCTACTTACTCGATTAATTCTTGGAGAGAGTCTCGCATAGAAACTATCGATTTAATATCTGCATGAGATTCTGGTTGTACATGTCGTCTAATTTCTATAGCTTTAGTGTACATCTCAATTGCTTTTTTAATATCTCCTTATTTATGATAGATTCCACCAATACGTTCATAACTTTGTACGATGCTTGGATCATTGAATGGTTCCTATTTTAATTTAGCATTCAATGCATCATCGTAATATTTCATTGCTTGAATATAATCGTGCATAGATGCATAAGTTTCAGCAATATGCTCAAATTAATTAAAACGATAAGGAAGATACGATGGAAAGTGTTCGTCAATCACTTGTAATGCTTGCAAGAAATAGTTTAGAGCTAATTCTTTCTGTTTCTTATTAAGATAGATCTCGCCAATAGCATTTAAACATCAAATTATTTCATCATATGTATTCAATTCTTTATAAATGTTTAATGCTTGAAAAAAATAATCTAAAGCACTATCGATATTCGGTATAATTTGACTAAAATATATGAATCCCATATTGAATAATGTATCGGCAAATTGATCCTTAGTATCATTTATATTTTGTTGAATTTCTAATGCTTTCATTTGATATTCAAGAGCCTCCGATATAGAATGAATTTCTAAGTAGTTCAAACTGATATATTTGTAACTGTGATATAATAACTCTGGTCGATCCTGAGATTGTTCAATGGCTAGACGACTATAAGCCAATGCAATGTCAAAATCGCCTCGTTTTCGAGCAACATTACTTAATCCCCAAAAACAATTGATTATAAGATCACTTGACGAAATATCAATCACTGATCCATCGTCGAGTATTTGTTGATAATATTTCTTGGCTTTATCGAATAAATTCATTCGCAATAATACAGCTGCTAAGGAAAATGGTGATTTTTGATCGGACACAATAGTCTTATCTTCTTGATAGACATCGTTGAGTTCATAGGCATTATCATTGCATAAATGTAATTTAATTATCCACACATGAGAAGATTCACAAAAGGTAACATTCTTAATTTCAAAGATAGATCCTGCCATAAATAATACTTCCTTTTCTTCTACAAATTGACTGACAGTCGAAATATCAGCGAATGGCTTTGGATTAATTATAGTTTTGTCTACTGTGATATGAAAGAGTATATGTTCTCCTGATGGATCTCCACTTAAACTGAAAGCTGTTGCCATTTCATATTCCAACGAAGTCGATATAAAACTGTTCAAAAATATTAATTGACCAATGTTTTCTCTAATGATTTGCAATTCCATGTTGAAAATTGTTTGACAACGATAAACGATCATATCGATTCCACGCGATGTTTTCTCATATTCTATTTTCAATTGATCAAACATATCTTTGAGAAAAAATCGTAATGAAAATAATATATCAATGTCTTGAGTGCGTAATGCTTTGTTAAGTATATCAAAGAAGAAACTCTCGCGACTATACCCTTCAAGAGCATTCTCCGATCGATAAGTTTTTTCAAATTGTTGAATTTTTTCTTATTTTTGTTGATTACCATCATAATATCGTTTGTACACGTCAATAAAATATGTTTTCGCTTTCTCACGATCTTCAGTATCGATTAGTACGTTGAGAATGCGTTGAAACTATAAAAACTCACTATTGAGTGATGAATGGGTCGATTGTTTGAAAATATTAATCCCAATTGGATTTACTTGAGCGTTGTAATCTGTTTCGACCGCTTGAATTACTGTATTGAAAGTATCATTATTCTCTTTGACTTCGTAAAAGTAAACTCGAACTTTATTTGAAACATATGGCATTTCTGTAACAACATAAATGTGATTATTGTCTTCAACTTGTTCAACGTATTGGTTGCACGCATCTACATCATCGAAAATTTCAACATAATCAATAACTTGTCGAAGTTGATTTAGCATAGCATCATTCCGCTGGATTGTTAGCCAAATCAAAATCGACGATTCTAAATTGCGTCTGAATCGACTTTTAGTCACTTCTGTACAACTCATTTCAGGTGCAGAGCAACGTTTGCGTCAATCGTTACCTGTTACTGCATGTTGACGACACCATATATAAATATCGTTAATGGTTACGTTTTCTTCACTATTGCCTTGCACGATATACAAATCACAGTGTAGGTGGTCGTATACGACGGCTGTTAACGACTGTCATAAATGATTGCTATGATCGCTCGTAACTCACCAAGCATTATCATTTACTTTTGTAGAATGTCACATCGAGATACTACACTGATTTTCATTCAGCTTAACTTATCACAGGATGTGATGTTGAACTAAGTCTATATTGTAATTTCACAGCTTAACAACAATATATTTAACTGACGATCCATGAGAAAATCAAAAAAAATTTCACACATAAAAAAGCATGAGGATCAACCGATTTTGAATCTGACCCGACAGGAATTTAAGCCGTAGTGTACCATATATGAAACCAAAATATTACGGTCTAAAGATCTACCTATGATCCACTAGGACTAACCAATCTGAGACACCCTAAAAATACCGTCAACAAATGCAACAAATTTAATTTTTAGTTTCTGTGAATTTTCTTCTTGAATTTTTTTCACTGTTAAAATTGAGTCATATACCAATTGATAGAGCTTGAGTTGCTCTACAAAATGGTATATATGATATTTTTCCTCAGTCTCGGTATTGAAATCAAAAAGTTCAAACACACTTATTTTTTCACATAACATAAATTTTTTTCCCAGTATTTGGATGAAATATCCGTATCAAAAGATGAATGCCAAAACAGAAATAGGATCATCTTATAGCCTGTTGAATTCTGCATTGAATAATGTATTTCACATTGTTTGAGAATATTCTACAGCTGAGTCACTAAGACTCAAACATTAAGAACTGACATCATATTTAGTGATGGCCTTTCAAGAAAAGCATTCTTTTTTAAAATATTTCCAAATTTTGTCTATATATTTCAATCAAGCATAGAATATGATATTTTAATCATTGTGAATTGACTCACACTACAATGTCTATGGCCTAAACAAACTCAATAAAACTATCACTCAGGGATGGGCGAGTCAAGCCATTTTTCGAGTCGAGTTGAGTCGAGTCAATTTATTTTCGCCATTTTTGCGTTTTCTGTTAATTTCCATAAAAAAACGTTAACAACTAGTTTTTCATTAAACGATATCTACTCCCTANAAAGTTCAAATTGAACGAAAATTAGTAGCACGAGGCAGCTCACAAACTGTCCAGCAAAAGTTCTCCTGGTTGGTCAATTGCTTGACCATTCAAAATCAGTAGGATTTTGTAGCCCCCGGCTTGCTCTTTTGAATGGTGAAAACCGCAGCTCGATAACTCAAAGTAATCAAAAGTTATTCAGAAAATGGTCGTTAACACTTTAAAAAAAATCCGACATTAGTCTTTTTTGTTGATTAGACATTGTAATTTTCTTGACAATGAATTGATCAATTTTGAGCACATTTGTGAACTGATTGTTCTCCAAACCTTTGTAATTTTGTTCGCCAACATGGATTGTTATATTTTCGGGACATTAATATTTAGTAAAAGTGATGGAACTTAATAAAAATTTCAAAAAATTAAATGTCGAAAAAAACAATCGTAAAATGAGAATTTGTTGAAAAATATTTGTCGAAAATGAACGATGAACAATGGTCTTATGGTAATATACACCCAATCAGAGTTAAAGATATTTAAATAAATGTACTATAGACATCTAATTAATCTTAAAATATAATTCGATTCGTTATAATTCTCTTAATATTTTCCCTTTCTGATATCTTTCTTTTTATGTAACTCCTTGCTATTTTGATTTTAGGACATGGAAAAAATATCTTCTCTATCGTACGAACCTATATATCTCCTATAATAAGAACTAGAGATTTGAAAATTTAAGGTAATATTTGTCTAGTTACAAGGGATTAGACTTCCAATTTTGAGCATTTTGGGATTTGTAACAAGGGTGAATGATCAAGATTTTTGGATCACCCTTTAGTTTTCCTTAAGTTGTTAGTCTAAGATTCATCGTTCTAGAGCAATTGTGATCAAATCAAACTTGAAAAAAAAGTAACGCTTATTGTGAGAAGGAGACAGTGAACTTCAAGCGCGAAATCTCTGCGGTTTCTTCCTCGACTTTTTATTAATTGTTAGAATATGTCCGGAAAAAAATACCATTAATTTACTGATTATAATTTTTGTTCTCTCACAATAGCTTTTATTCCTGATCAAAGGTCCACACAGGCCTGATTTCAATAGGTCTGGCCTGTCGATGACAGGCTGTAGATTGCATCAGCCTGCCTGTGCCTGTAATGCGCTTACCTCAGCCTGACCTGTCTACCTGCCATTTTGATCGACCTGCCTGTGCCTGCCTGCCGTGGCCTGTGTATATTTTTTATGCTATCGTTTAGATGATATTTCAATGAGAATAGCACCATTTCTTGATAACAGACAACGATAAATGCTCATTTTTCATGTTACACCGTTCAAGCCACTCTACTGTAATTTTTGAAGTATTGTTCCTGCTCAAAAATAATTTTTTGATTGAAAATTTCATGAAAAGTGTGACAGACAGGCGCCTGTCTATTCTAAGCAGCTTGCCTGGCCTATGTAAGGTCTTGGCCTGGCCTGAGACAGGCTCAAAATCCATAGCCTGTGCCTGTCACAGGCAGGCAGGCTCAACGGCCTGCTTGGACCTCTGTTCCTGATAAATATCTAGGGATGTTTCTAGTCGAGCTAGAGGATGACTGCCCCTAATCACGAAAAACTTTCGTTTTTTCTGCCACGATTTATTATTGTTTCGCTCACCAATGCTGAAAGGCCCGGTCAACTCTAGCAAAAAACCTTTTCAATTGATCTCTTGAGCCATTCAATTTCTCTACCCTAATCCTGAACACCAATATCCACATCGACACCCATCATTTTAATATTCATTGATAGGTTCAGCAGTATTTTGATAGCTATTGATGAATAATATTTTGGGAATATTTTGGTATGATAAGTTTAATAATAAAAAGATATTTTAATTTTTAACTATATGCAGTGCGTAATGAAATTATTCAACCAGGCTTATTGTCAATTTTTTTTCGTTCTCGCAAGTGCTACAAGAATTCAAATAGAAAAATTTGTTCTCAAGAAGAATATAAAGAAATAAAAATTATTCTCAGGTTTTCAAAGACAGAGACTTCATAAAACCAAAAGACTAGTTTTTTTAGCACGTATAACACGTAAGTATAGTTTCGTCTAGACTACATAGAACGATAGAAGTAAATAATGGTCTACAAAATGACAGGCATTTGTGTTCTCTGGGATGTTTTTCAGCTGAGATACAACAATCCTATAGAGGCCTCTAAAGTCGTTGCTTTTTTTTACTACTTTCTGTAGAAAAGTCATTTTTTGATCTTCAATCAAAATTTTCTATCCCAGCTAAACAAAATTGCAGAGAATTGTTTAGTTTGTCGTTTTATGTAGTTTAAACAAAAGTAGATTTACATGCTTTCGATATTGAAAAACTAGGATTTTGATTTTCTGAAATCCCTACTTTTCGAAAGTCCGATAATAATTTTTATTTCCTTATCTTTTTGTTTGAATCATTTTTTCTGTTCTAATTACTATTTGCATTCTTTTTAGCGTTTATAACAATAGAAAAAAACCTGAAAACTAACTTGGTTAAATAATTTTAGTGCCCACTATATGTATATAAGAAAAAAGATGCATACTTGTTTTTATCGTCTCGAGATTGTTGTGCAATTTTTTACCTATGAATTCTTTTCTATCTGCTTAACTTATTCCTGGTAGATGAAGCTTTTCATGGGGTCAAGCTGTAATCCTTTTATAATAAAGTATGATCTATTAAATCATTGTTTTAGGGTTAATTAATATCGAACTTTCATGAGTAATTTTATTGTATAAAATCTACATTCTGTTGTACCTATGGTTATAGAAAAACTAATGATATTTGAGTATCTTTTAATTCTATAACGATGTAAATCGAATCAAAAGAAAAACCTTCTTATACATTTCGTTCCATACCATACAATTAGTAGACTTATCCAAAGACTTAAATTGATATTGTAATTTAACAAATATTTTTCTTACACTTATGCAGTCATTCATGTTCATTGTCGTACATCTTGGGATAGGTTACGTAGACAGACAAGTAATGAAAAAGTCGATGTTTTTACGCGTGAAAAGTAAATGTATAAAGACATTAAAAAAAAAATTTTTTTGAAGCAAAATAAGTTTGAAAGCATTAACTTTCATCAAGTCATTTTTTTTCACAAGAAATAGTTCTTGAAACAAATTCAAATGTGCACTTTTTACGTGTAAAAACATCGAATTTTTCGTTACTTGCCTGTTCGAGGCGGACAATATTGACGAAATAAGACAAATGTGTTTTCTTTTGAAGCTTGTTTTTTGATTGCCATTTCACCTCATCGATAGATAAGTCAATGGTGAAATCTGAATGTAGCCAAATAAATATCTGCTTCCTATGTAGTTAATCATTTTTTATATCATCAATTTTTGATGATAAAATCAAAAATAGAACTATGGCCAGATTTCGTTTCTGATTGTCGAACGAAATATTATCTAAACTCAATATACTATTAAATACATTTATGAGCATATACGTTCCATATACATGGAAATAATATGAGACAATAAAAATACTGATAAAAACCAATGTATATAGAATGAAAGTCTCGATTTTTGGTATTGATCAGAAAAATACGTAGGGATACAACAAGTCCAAAGACTTGGGATTTGGTATTATTTGTTGTAAATTTGAGATTAAATTTAGATTCCGCTTGGATTTGGATTTTGTCTCAAGTGACCCAAATCCCACCGGTTTGGTAAGATAAAGCGTCAGCAACAACGATCTACTTTACTAGAAGTACGGTACCACCAGAAAATGATCTTGGGATTAAGGACCAAATACAAGTCAAATCCCGAAGCTCTTGGTTCCAAATTTCAAATCTGTTCTAGATTTGTTGCACTCCTAGAATTATGTGAAATAATAAATATGTCTCTCTGAATATTATAAATATAAAGCGCAATATTCTGTTCAATCAAATTAATTTCTCTATCTGAAATTGTATTCAACGCTACTAATTTAAAACTTTCGTTTATTTCTTAACTAAATGCATTTACAACTCTTAATAATATAAACTTCAAAGAAAACAATTTTCTCTTTCTAAATTGTTTATCAATCATTTTGTATCTTTGAATTTTTGTAACTAGATCAAATCTGACATGATTATTCATCGAACATAAACATTAGTATACACCGTATGGTATTTGAGTGCATTTAATACACACCTAGACATATTAACTGCATTTCGTTATTACATAGAATATTTATGGCTTTTGCATTTAAATAAATCGAATTAACAGTCATTCTCTAACATAATATTATGTTCAGCTTGTTTTGCATGTTCTTAGTAAATTACTCAAAAATAATTTTCTTGTAAATCTCATGAGTATTGACATGCTATATATACTTTTGCATGCATATTTTAAATTTATCAAATAAAATACGTGCTAAGCTTTATTATAAAATCTTGAAAAAGACAATTTTTTGCAATTTTTGATGCATAAATAGTTCACAACATCTATATATCAATTAATTATTTATTAACAACGCAGTATTAAATACTATAAATTTTTAAAAATATTGTGGAAATATATAAAAAAACACAAAATTATCGATATTGTATCATAGTTAAACGAAAAATACGATTGAAATACTATACACAGTATAAATTCCATTATTATATACATAATCGGTAGATTTTAGTTAAATTTACTCTTATAATAATAAGTACAATTGGTAAATGTCGAATTTTGATTTTAGACAATAAAAGTTTATTCTTCAATACTTTAATTGTGAATCTATTTTAACATGAAAACTGATTTGTGTCTTATTTTTGGAATCTTTTTTTGTTTTGAATAAACTTGTTAAAATTATTATTCAAACCTTTTAATTATGAAAACTTTCACAATTTATTTCAATGAACTGATTAAACATGATTTATTATAGATCAGAGAAGCACACAAAACTAGTTAAAATTGATTGTTCATAGTTAAGCACATATAAATTCATTTTGGCTAATACCTTTCGAACATGAACTAGCTTTAAATGAATATTTCACTTTAGTGCCTTTAGTAACTGCACCACAACCAGTCTTTGCATAATTTTCGACCATTGTTCTACATGATTGTTCACATGATGTCATGGCTATATCACTGCATGAACAAAGTTTACAAGATGTTAAATCCCATGAATGAAATGGAAAATGAATTGTATGTGAAACAGCTTTACATTCACATCTATAGAAGAATTTTTTCAAATATAAATTTTAATTATTGAAAATTTATTTACTCTCGACTTATTGGATTAGCATTGATCATCACAATAACTGCAAGTACGATAAAAAGAACAAGTTTCATGATTGAATTCGATCGCAGAAATAAAACTTGAAATATCGTTAAATATATTCTTAGTACTGTTCGAATTTATATATTCTTCATAGTACTTGATTCATAGGTATTCGTACTTTCTTTTTCTTTTCGCCCCCTCCCCCCCCCCCCCCCCTCTGTCTCTGTTTTATGGCACTTTCAACGAATCATGCACGTATTGGCACTATATCTATATGTATATAAGTATGAATCAAAATGATGCCTCAACGAGTAAAAAAAAAAACAAGACAACTGTTAACGATTGAGAGTTATCCAAAAAGGAAAAAGTGAAATATTGAGAGTACATTAATTTCATTCATTAATATTTCAAGGATGATATAAGAAAAAAATGTAAGGGGGGGGGGGGGTCTAATGTAAACATAAGTGGTATTTCTTTACTTTATACTTTTTTCTTTTCTTCCTTTTTTTTTGTGTATTTTAATCCTGGACACTATTCATACCATATGTAGCTTATTAATAATAGACTCAGGTAAAATAAATACAAAATGAAAAGTTTCATATGTATGCTTTCATCAAAAACGAATCCTTACAAGAATCTTTCGAAAACCTATTCATTTCGTTTTAATATTTCAATTTCTTACATTAACAAATCACATAGTAAATATCTGAAACATTAAAAAGACGGAAAAATTTTTTTTCTTGTCATTTGTCTAAAATCAATAATAAATAAATCATTAACAGTGAACACCATCAATTAAAATCTTTAACAAATAATAAATAATATCATCGATATTTAATAAATTTATATTCAATATTAAAACAAGATGACGTTATAGAAATAAATTATCTTATAGAATTGAACACACTAGAGTTGTAACCGGTACCAATAAATAAACTGAGTATTTCTATGAAGGAATATAGATTCGAATATTTTTATTAAGTAAATATTCATCAAAATATGTTTAATATTTTTTATCAAGTCATTTCGATATCAAATTATATTATCAAAACACAATGGAGTCATTATAATTCATCATATATTTGTTTTCATTTCATATTATTTTTGCCATATTATTAGAGATAAAAAATAAAGTAAATCTATTTTGAGAAATAGAGTACATATAATTTTTATATCGAACGAACATTTAATTACTATACAACGCTAATATTGAGTTATTAGTCCTATTAACTTCTCTAACCATTGAAAGATGCTAAAAGAAAGAAAACTTAAGGAAATAAATAGTGAAGAAAAAGCTTTCAACACTATCCCCAGAGAATTAAAATATTACAAGCGATGGAGCTACTTTAATCATTATGAGAAACTTGATTATATATGTGACAGACTATGACAAGACCAAAAATTAGCATGTCAGAAAATCCACGAAGTCATGATCGACATATCGACATTTATGTCACATTCTGCCAGTAAATTAAAAGAACATGAACATGTTTGACATGGTATTTCGAGCAAATTGAAAAAGATAGGTTCAATTTTCTCATCATATACTACAATACTTATTAACAATCGTGTTTTTTTCAAAGTACTATAATAGTGATTTCTGCATTGATTTAGAAGTAAATATGATTAAACTCGAAGTTCATTTGGCTGTTATAAGATGAGAAATGTGGAAAATGACTTATGCCAGTCTGATCTAATAGGTAAGATAAAAAGATTGTACCCGTTGCAACTCTACGACACGTGAGTAATTTTTATTAGCCATTACAAGAAAACAAACTTGAATATTCAATAGGAAGAACATTTCCTTCCTGTTGTCAAGTAGATGTTAGTTAAAAAAAACAAATGAACATTTACAGAGGGAAATTTGACAATCTACAACTTGTTTTTAACATTTATAAATCTCGATTTGTATTATGACTAAAGATCTTCATGAAAAACCATACAATCATTCATAGAAATGTAGATGATAATTTCAAATTGAATATAAACAATAAATTTTTAAGACTGTTTTTTTTTATTATAGAAGTCAAACTGTAATATCGAATCAAACAGGAACTTTTGTTGTTATCTTTCGAGTCATTTAATTCGTTGTATTTATTCATCAATCATATGTTTTATAAATTAAAAACATTCTTTTTTAACTGATAGAATAAATAATAATAAGAAAGATATAATTAAATATATCAATATATATGATTGACTTCAAAAACCAAAAACGTTTCACTCCATAGAAATATAACTAAACATTGAGTATCAATTATAATTAGAGCTTGAAGGCGAATATCATCTTATAGAATATTTTTAATATAATGCAGATTTCTTTTATAATTCATAAGTATAATATTTAATAAAAAAATATACGAGAATATTGTCTTTATATGCAAACATATTTGAATATTTATCAATACAATTTCCAAAGATAATTTAATAATTTACGATTGCAAAAAAAAGTGTTATTATTTAAAGAAATAATTTTCTTTCTGTTTTTTTCTTCTTCGTCTGTAAGTATCTATTCAACTAGCATAGTAATAAAAAGTCCAATGAATAAGAAAAGAAAAGCCAAATAGAGAGCACTCAATGTGATGGACGGCGATAATCGGAGCAATGGAATCTAAAAAAGAAAAAGAAAATCTTTACTTGTAATTTTTTTTATATTTCTTAAAATAATTACTAGTAATATTAGATTTATCTTGTTCAAAGAAGCTTAATGGTAATTGTCTTTTAACATAAACAGGTGATGAACGAAATAATACATAGGAGTAATCTTTTTTATCATTTTTTATTATTGCTAATTGATCATTATCAATTAATGATAATGATGAACAATTGGTATGATTTATGAAGGTTTTTTGTTCAGCATTTAATATTTTACATTGAATTTGAAATGGTATTGGTTCTTTAAGAATATTATAAAGATAAAAGGAATAATAAAATGTTGATAAAGAATTTATTTTCGATGGTAAATGAATCACAGTTGGATCAGTTGGACAACTAAAGAGTTAGAAAAAAAAGAATTTTTTTTCTTTTTCGATTCGAATTTGATTTACCCTCGATATATTAATTGATGTTTTTGTACATAATCAGAATATGGATAAAGGGCTATTAAATCACATGAATCAATAAAAAAGCTTGATGATACTAATGTTGAATCATCTAATGTTACATGAATAAGAGAATAAAGTGAAATAGAACAAAATTGCGGACAAGAATATGTTCGATCATGTACAATCCATTGTAAATGAATTCTTAATAAAGAGAAAAAAAGAAAAAGAAAATTTTTTATTTATTCTTTCTTTTTTCTACCTATGAGTTGGTAGAACAGATTGTTCATCATGATATAATGTTGATGGTAAACGACGACGTGTAGAAGTTGGTGATGAAGTACTTTTGATAGATGTTGTCATTGATATTTTCATTGTTGCTGATGTCCAATGGGCTGAACGTATTTGATATATGTCACTTGGACAAAGAAAAAAACGTTCATATTGTCTAGCTTCATTTGTATCTTTATCTACACCTTCCCAACGAAGTTTTCCAATAATGGAACCATCAGTTAAAATCTATACAAAGTGAAAAAAGAATTTATTGAAAGATTTAATTAGTCGAAAAAGTAAATTTCTATACAGACAGGTTGCTTTCGCTGTTCACATGAATTTGGATATATAAATTAAAGAAAAAGAAAGAGATGTTTTTTTTTCAATCTTTTCGGTTATAAACGAAGAAATATTATCGTGTTTCTTAGTGTTTACTGTCACTGACAGTTTTTCTAACATAAGTTCATCTAACAAATTCAATATCTTTTCTCTTCAATAAAAACAATATAATACCAATGAACAATTATCCACATGTGTAATAAATTGTGCATGTGTTTCATTGGACCATACGGGTATACAACCACTATCACCAAGTAGAACATAATTTCGATCAATACCATTTAATGTGACTAATATATGTAATTGATCACCTGGACATGTTGTTGTTTGTAATCTCACAGCTAAGATTAATTAAATGTAGATAGAGGAGAGAAAAAAACGAGAAAGAGACATATTTAATTGTTTGAAACAAACCTTTTGTGTCTTTTCGACAATCAATTTCATAATAATCAACAAATAAATTTGTTCCTATTGATGATGGTTGATCTGTTAATGATATATTAGCACGTACACATAAACCATGTCGATGTGAACGCCAATGTTCAAATGAACGACATCGTTCAGGTTTTAATTTTAAACAACGATCTAAACAATCTAATTCTGATATCCAGTGATCATGAAGATCATTATAACCATTTAAAGAAGTATCAATACGTTTTTCATAAAAGCAATCTTTAAACAATAAAATTTAGAAAAAAAAAAGAATTAAGAAAACAAACAAACTCTTGTTGTTTGTACCTTCAATATGATTGAATGATAAAGAATATACCATGAATTTTAATTTTAATCGAATAATAATAAATATGAGCATCACCAACAGGCGGCGGCTCATGATAAATAAACATGTTTATCATAGCATAGCATCATCTGACATTACCAACAACAGACTATAGTTGTTGTTGTTGTTGTTGTTATATTAGCCATAGAAAAACAAGCAATCTATAATAGATATTCAAAGAAAAAATAGAGCTTCGTTTTTTAACCTAACGTTGGCATAAACTAGATATGAAAAATAATCTCAATTTTCTTTTTTTTTTTTTTTCATTTATTTTTCTACCAATCAATCTTAACTTAGAAGATAATGAACTACCTTTTCCTGGCAAATCGCTGTTGTCGTCTTTAATATATTTCAATTACTCCTTCGGTTTTTTCTTCTTCTTTTTTTTTTCTTCTTCGAGGAATGTTAGTTCGTACAAGTAAAAGGTGTGGCCCTCTTTCTCTCTCTCTCTCTCTCTCTCTCTATTTTTTAGAGAAAAAATACTAATTTCCCCAGTTTGTTGATGAAGCAGAAAATCAACTAGAAATGTTCATTGATTCAATGACAATTGTTGAAACCTTGTTCTTTTTTTCTTTTTTTTTTCATATAAGAAAGAAAGGCTTAGAGCTATTTTGACAAGGGCAGAACATTGCGTGTAAGAATCAAAAAATCACCGGCACTTTCGCTCGTTCAGTTTTAATTAAAACAACATCAAATGCAAAAAAAACTAGACAGTGAACTTTGACGGGAAAAGGAAAAAGAAAGGCTTACTTTCTCTCTTTCGTTCTCTTTATGTAGAATAGTAGTCGTGTGCAAATCCCCAAGAGCCTAATGAACGTCACACGGCGTTAGATTCGGATTGGGCTTGTCATAGCTAAGCGAATTGCTTTTTAAAATAGAGAAAGAGAAAAAGTACACGCATATATCTGATACAATAATGTCTTTGTTACTTATAGTCAAAAAAAGAGAAAATGATCATTTTAGATTTCTTTCTTGCTTTTCCTTCAAAAAGAAAAAAAAGCTACTCAACATATATAGACAACATAGATTAATTATGACAGAATGTACAAAAGAAAAACGATTTATTTCTTAGAAAAGTAATATTATGGTTTACATGACATGTGGTTTTTTAATATATATAGGAAAGACTGAAATAAAGAATTAAAGAAATCGATTACAAAAATTTGTTCATTATCTTTTTTTTTTTATTCATTCAAATTTTCTCGTTTTTTATAATATTCTTCTCAATCATACATACATAGCTCAAATTGGCATAAAGCATAATATTTTTACAGACTTATATCATGAATACAATAGTTTTAAAAATAGATTATGTATCTATAATCTTCTTTTCTTTTATATTAATTTTTCTTTTTTCTCCTAATAAAAACATTAATATATTTGATAAATGACAATTTTTGTATGACATAAAAGTCTTAAACAGAATAGACAATAGGATTTTCACTCAAAATAAAAAAAAGAAAATCTTCTTTTTATTAGTCACAATCATTTTTCTTTACATGGTACTCACTTTATAGAATGTAGGTTTTTTTCTTTTTTACATATATATTGATGTGATGATGCACGGTATGCTCATTAAAAACGCAGTATATTTGACCTTGAATGTAAACCAAAAAACCGGTTCGTCTTCTTTTTACATCTATCGTTTAATAATAATAATATCTTGCTTCTTTTCTTCTTTCTCTCTCTCTCTCTCTCTCTGTCTCTCTCTCTCTCTCTTTTCCTTTTGGCTAAATAGAATGGAAAAGAATAAGTACGAAAGAGAAACAGGATGGAAAATATTATGCTAGGAATTTGATTCTGAAGTCGAGATGTATACATATAATATAAAATGAAGTTAAAAGAACTTAAAAAGTTTATTTTAGCTCTCTAATATTGCATGTTGATTTTATGCTAATGAATAGCTTTTATATCGGTGAGTAATGAATTCAAATCATAAATGATTCTGACTTTAAAAAAAGAAAGAAAGAAAGAATTAAAAAAAAGCAGGCATGTTAATCATAGTTGTCATCGAGTTAAGACATATTTTCTTTATCTTTATGTCAACATTGCGTGTATACAGGTATTGTCACGTCATATATTAGTTTATAACAAAGAAGATGAAATAGAAATATCTATTAAATCATGAAAGACATTGTTCATACTGACAAAATCAGTTTATTTTATATGAAGAAAACATATAACAGCAAGATTATATCTTATTATTAGGAAAAAAATCTGCTAATCCAGTCCCTAGTCAAACTAGTCATAGGCGAATTCTCATCAAGTACTCACGCTATAAAATACCACAGAATTTATGACTTTTGAGTAGTCATCAGTGGTACTCGTGCTGAGATCCGAGTATCTAACTACGATAATCGAGTACTAATCTTGTAATAATAATTATTCTTTTGTAATATTTGTGTACTGCACAGATTTATGTAAAAGGCTTATAGGCCTTTATTCTATTCAAAACTATTGTAACATACTCGTTTTATTTAAATATACAATTAAGCTATAAAACAACATATATATAAGGAAAATTTTTATAAAATATATTATTTTGTCATTATAATTTTTAATATACACAATTGAAATAAACTTTTCACGTTCAAAAAACTAGACTAAATATATCAATGAATAACAAAACATTCAAAAAAATTTAGAAATATTATTACAAAAAGAACCGAATGGATATTTTTAAACTGATGGCTATCGTTGCATCTAATGTTTTATAAAAAAAAAAAAAAGAAGAAATTTTTAAAACTATTTACCTATAGTATGTTGCATATGTCTTCATAATATGAAATAGTAATTGATTCGTAACAAACAATATTTAATAACTAGTTATTTCATCAATTTTCAATCTGAAAAAAGAACACACGACACTATTTTAATATGAAAGGATATTTCATTTTAATCGAGAAAATATAATTCATTAAAAACACTTTTTTTTTTACATTTGATTGAATTGTATTGTTTTTCTTTATTACATAATTTCAATCTATTATTGAAGGTACTTGTTCATAAGTGTTTTAATGAATATCCTTCGGGAAAACGATGATGAATACCATATTGAGTACTTCTGCTTTCGTCTATAAGTAAACCTTTAAAAAAAAAACTCATATGAGTACTCATAAGAAAACACATTACTAATGAATATTCTTGAAAGTATTATTTTTTTTTTGATCGTCATTTAAGATTCTTACCTAAACTAAAAAAAAGTAGATCCTGACTTTCTAGCTACATCAATATAGACTGAATTTTGGCTGATGAGAGAAGAGGTGTCTCTTCAATAAGACTTTTATGTTTTTGAATTTTTATTTGATCTTTTTTTTGCATACTTGTCTGATTCTTATGATTTAAGTGTAGAATTTACTATGCACCAATGCGTTTATATTCATTTTGACTTTCAACAAGAAAAAAAAAACAAAGGTAAATAAAATAAGTAGGGCGTACACTGAAAGTTTCGAGAGAAAATATTCGACTAGATTTTTTCGCGTATTTAAATGCATTGATAGTGTATTAGAAAATCATTCTCTACAAAACAGTAAATGTTTTGCAAACTAGTGAAGTACAGTACAGATATTTTTAAAGTCTGGTTTTTCCGTTTTTTGTCTTTTCAAAACATAATGACCTTTCACTACAACTCTGCTATCGTTTAGCAGATAAACCGAAGCTCATTGTTCATATGACATTTTGTGGAGTAGAGGTCATTCTCAAGTACTTTATATTTACAGAATTTATTTGATGTAGACCTATCTTCAGAAAATGAAGACATATTGTCTCTCGAGAAATATTTTTTGTTTTGAATTCTGTCAAGATTGACTTATAACTCGATAGTCAATAGTCATAGAACAATTCTATTACACTATCAATGCATTTAAATATGCGAAAAAAATATTCAAATATTTTTTCTAGAAACTTTCGACCTATCCCTGAGAACAAAACTATATGCGACCTCTTGACTTACTAATGAGTCAACAAATGCATTCTTTTTCTATCCAATATATTTACTTATCTGATATTGACATGCATTTCATATATTGTCAGAAATGGATATTGAGATAAACTCAAATTTGACTATAAAATCGTTGTTGGATCCATAGCGTTTTATTCATGAACTAGAACAATATTGATAGCATCTGTTTCTGTAATATTCAATTCGAAAATCAGAGTTTGATTGAATAAATTTTATGTGTAAATAAAAATTCAATGGGAATATTTACCTGGACAACTATTGAAAAAAAAACTTTTATGATCGACTGATTACATCCAAAAGAAATATCGTCACGGCGTCGTAGTTCATTTGAAAAATCTGGAATCCAACATCGATTTCAGGACCAAAATTGAATTTTTAATGAAGATTTTTGTTCGATCCAAGTTTGAACTAATTCAAATTTCGATCTTAGATTGGATAGACATCGTGCAATGTTAGTTTTGAAGAATAGACAAGAATCTGTTTTTTTTCCTGTCGAAAGATGCTTGGTTGAACTTCAAGAAATCTTAAATAGCTTACAAGGCTATTCAAATTCTTATATTCTTGATCAATCAAAGAAGATTCTTTTCATCTATAACTTCAGGCTAATGTCTTTCTTCATTCCTGTCAAAAGAAGCTTGTTTGAACATCAAGTTATCTTAAATATGTTGTAATACTTTCCAAGTTCTTATTTTCTTTATCAATGAGACATGAAATTTTTTTTAATGTTGAAATTCAGGTAAGAATCTTATTTCTTTCCTGTAGAAGAAAATCTTTCAATTATGATTTTGAAAACTATTGGTCCAAGAATATTGATTAGTAATAATTAAATTGCGTGAGTACTCGCTTGAATAATTTTCTTACTCATGCTAAAACATGTTAACCATTGAATGAGTAAATTTACTAGGAATCATTTTGTATTATGTTGAAATATATAAATATATCAACATTAGAATATTTTATACGTGCTTAGAAATGTAATGAAGAATTTGTCAAATCTCTGATGTAGTTATATTCATTAGTCCTTAAACTACAT